AGTTTCCTTACTTTCCAAGGGATTTCCTAGGAATAGAATCCATTTTTTTGTTAAATTCGAGGTTAAAACGTCTATTTTTTTCGTTCAATATATTTTTACAACTTCATTATACATGAATTGTTTTTAGCTTTACCAAGTTATGGATGATATATGCATATGTACGTATGCACACCACCATAACACATTACTCAAAGCATTTGTTTATTATTATATGTTATATATATTGTATGTGTATATATGTATGTTTACATATGTGTATAATACAAATTTTTGTAAGATAAAAGTATTTCATGTATAATAAAGTTGCACAAAATATGGAACAAAAAAATGTTTGAACCTATAAAAATGAAAAAATAAGTTTGATTTCTATGAACGCATTTCCTAGAAATTTGTGACGAATAATGTATTTCCTAAGAAATCCATCGGAGGTTCCCAAATCATTTTTTGAAGGTAAAACCCTAACTATTTTTATTTTTTCAAAACCCTTAAATTTAAGTGGTTATATGTTGAAAATTAGGTTTAGGTTTATGTTATTATGTGTTTAAGTGTTATTTCTTAGATTTTAGGTTGAATTTTGCCCTAGATGGTATGATTTATCTGACTACAGTTGAACCATATTAACCATATGTATTAGAAACGAATACGTAGTTGCAACACAAGATAAACACTTAAAATGTTAACAATTGCTTTATAAAAATGATGAAAAATAATTTATTATTGTTGACTACGGTTGAAGCAACATAACCATATGTATCAGAAAACAGATGGATGATAGTAGTGGTCATTTGATCTCATCCATAAGGTTGAGGTTTGTTAGTAAAATTGAATTACTATTAAATTAAAAGGGCTAAAAGGGTAATTACATTTTAGGATGATCGTGTTCTCTTCTCTTTTATTTAAAAAAATCCTCAAAATTCCTTCTAAATTCATCAAAAATCCTCTAAAATTCTTATACCCACTTTCCAGATTTGGTTTTGTAACCTATGTTTCTGTTTTTTGATTTGGTTATGTTTATGTTTGTTTGGTTTGGACAAATTTCCAGATTTGTTGTCTGGTGTAATCTGTCATAAGTGTCATGTTTTAAGTTTTTTGTTGTTTAATTGTTTAATTGATGCATTAGAGTTCATCTTTCTAGACTTGTCGTGACAAAAAACTGACATATATACCATTTAAAACATATAATTCTACTCAATTTTCTGTTTAAAACATATAATTCTACTTAATTTTCTGTTTCTGGTTGTTGTTTGGTGTGCCAAAATCCCAAATCATCACCAATAGCAAAATCATCAAATTCATTATTTAAAATAAAAAAAATAAAAAAATTGCATCAGACCTGTAGATACCAATAACCCATAAAAAACAATTATTTGTTCTAATGTAATGTCAGATGTGTTTAAACTCTAACCCATAAAAAACAATTATACGCCATTCAATAAAAAGTTTTAAATAAAAAGGAAATATATAGTGTGTGTGCAAAAAAAGTGTTATGTAGAAAAGTGTTAGCTACATGTAATTTTCCTAGAATCTCAATTCAATAATGAAAAAAAAAAACTTAAATGGAAGATTTGTTTAATGGCTATCAGGTTTGGTGCTGGTGTGTGTCCAAAAAAAAAAATTAAATGGAAGCTTCGTTAAATGGATATCACGTCATTAAACAACATATGTCAGAAATAATAATTGTTACATTTGCACTAGCATCTTAATGTTTGTTAGTTTTATTAATATTTTGAATTTATGATTTATATTAGTTTATTGAATTGTTGGTTTTAGTAATATTTTAAAGTTATGGCTTAACCATATGCTATAAAAAGTTTTATTTTAATATTTATCAATAGTTAAGTTTGTCGATTCATTTGTTAGTTGATTTGTGTTAAGTTGTCTTTTAAAGAAATATGTTGTGGAATTTGTTCCCATAAAAACATGATAAATGTATTATCAAAGTATTTCCGAAGAAATGTATTTTATTCCTTTTTAAAACTTTGGGATGTCATCGTCAATACATAAACATAAGCATAAACAGATCTTACATTCATTTACACTAGTGATTTATATCTCTTTTAAATCTCTTAGTGTAAAGTAGCTTCATATCGATACCTGTGATACAAGTAAACTTGAGTGGGTCAGATTGGGAAACCTGGTTTGTACATAGGGTTTTAAACCCACAATAATATAGTTATTACGTTTAAACATCAAACAATCAACCCAATTACTCATCCCCATTATCTTCTTTACTCCTAAGGATCTACCCTAAGAATCATTTATTCTTCATTCATTCATTCATTCCTAAGGGTTGTCCTAAGGAATAGGCATGAAATCCATCGTTGTCAATAACACAACTGTCAATGTTATCTATTAAACACAACTGCCAATGTTATCATTTAGGCATAACTACCAGAATTGTGACATTCTCTATGAGGCGCAGCTGACGATATTGTCCTTTAGGCGCAGCTGCCAGGGTTATGATGTTCTCTATTAGGCACAACTGTCAGTACTATCCTTAAAGCACAACTGCTAGGATGTTTAGAGTGCATCGTAGATCAAAAACATCTATAGGTTGTGGTGCAATTGCTAATGCTCATCTATAGGGTACTAAGTCCATTGCTACCAATGTTCACCTATAGGGCACTATGTCCATACTGCCAGTGTTCCTCTAAATCAGCTTTCATCCCTTATCATTTATCTACCCATGTTTTACCCAACATATTTTGTAGATATAAAATACATATATAATTTAAATCATTTAAAACATGTATAAAATCGTTCGTTCAGGATAGATAACAAGTATACAGATAATATGCACACATAGCACGCAATTTATATAAAATACGTCATATCTATGTGTAAGATGAAAGTAACTATGCACTCACTTGTTAAAGTGATGATTCCAAACTCGGACAGCGGTTCGCTTCTAGCGATTTTATTTTCCTTCGACGAAACCTAACATTATTATCGCTAAAATTTAGTCTACTATTTACCGTGACTAATTATTAGTCTTAGTATTGTTATTATTATTATATAAGCGTTTAACAATATTTCCAACCACTATGTACAAATAGGGGCTAGACATGAAACACTTGAGGCCAAGACCATTTTGCATTTAAGCCGTTCTGAAATCCAACAACCCTATGTGGCCCTTCAAACCAGATTCCCCGTACCGCGAGTAGTTAAAAAGATATTATAACGACACTTATATAGGTCATAATACTAGCCCAAATATTTATTATATGTTCATAATAACAATATTAATATTAAATATAAGTTATACTTAAAGTAGGGTAAGCATATCTTACTTATAAGGCGGTTTGACTAGGAGTCGGGCTCTATAGGGGCAGAACTTCATCGCTGAATCCTTCTAAAAATATTCTTGCAGTGCTTAAGCGCTCACCTTACTATACTAAAACTACAGAAAGAATAGTCGAATCACGAGGGACCGAAATGCTAGGAGGATAAGAAGAGAAAGACTCTTGAATCAAGAGAGGGGTGCAAGAAATATGAGAGCCTAGAGGCTCTTATTTATAGTAATTGAATTTTCAAAAACTACCCTCTATAGTTACTTAATGACCTTATAATTATATAAATAACTAAGCACCCCTTTATAATACTATTTTAAATAGATTTAACAATATTTATACTAAACTAATGTCGAAAGTACTCAAAACTAGTCTTATAACGATAACATCGTCGATATCTTTCTAATGATATATACATATGTATGTATGTATGTATGTGTGTGTGTGTGTATATATATATATATATATATATATATATATATATATATATATATACACGTATACATGATATATACTTTATTTTAATAGGTAAATATGCTATTATAATTTATAACTCATTTATATGGACTCTGTTTTTTACGTTCTTTATATCCACGCATAGCTATCGACGAGATCTACAACTTTCATTTAGACTCTGTCGGCTAATTTTGATTTTATTTTTCGTCCATAATTTTAAAAATTTAATGATTTTGCTAAAATCATAACACTCTCATACGAAATCTGTTTTTGATATTCTTTTTCTCAAAATTCCTATTTTAAGGAGTACTACGATTTTTCTTTTGGTGGCATTAGCTAGAAGTCTACTATTCTCTTCGTAGCTTTTTACGTCATACATTCCTTGTGCGCGACTGACTTTTATATCTTATAAAAATCATATCTAATTCATACGGATTCAGATTTCGATGAAATTTATATTTTCGGGATTCTGGAGATGTGTAATTTCTAAATTTTATATATATATATATATATATATATATATATATATATATATATATCTGTGTGTGTGTATGTGTGTGTGTGTGTTTTGACGCACTTATTTTTACGATTTACAGACGATTCGGCTGATTTTTCATATTTATATTATAATAATCATGAGACACATAATATTCATATAATTCTTATTTATTACATGAAACGTGTTACAATTGTTGATCATAACTATTACTTTGGTTAAGATTATTTATCCTAGATAATAAAAAAACCATTTTTAACGTTTATTATTGACTAGCTCGAATCTACGGGTGTTACAAAAAATGTCATCTAATAGAGAATGGATGTACACTTTGCGCACCAAGAATGGTATATTCAATCCGGTATTTCGACAACATGTCAATTCTTTCTTGGATTTTGCATACACCAATGCAACTAACATTAAACATACAACTATAGAAGGGTTAGAGGCTTTTCAAATTAGATGTCCATGTTCCAAATGCAAAAATTGTATTTTCAAAGCGAGAGAGTCGGTTGAGTTTGATATATATATATATATATATATATATATATATATATATATATATATATATATATGTATGTATATATATATATATGTATGTATATATATATATGTATATATATATATATAAGTGGATTCATGGTTAGTTATTCTGTATGGTATGCACATGGCGTGTCATTACCTACACATGACATGGGACAATGTTCAAACCCTGTATCGTCTTAACGTGTGCGTCAACGCATAGACAGTGAAATGGCTTAGGACATTAATGATGATTTAGGTGAATGAAGGCATGATCGAAAGTAGATTTAGAAGTGTGGTGCAAGATCGTTATTCAGACATAATGAGTGAATATCGACATGAATCTTCAAATAGAGCTCGAGCAGTCCGTCACAACATCCCAAACATAGATAATGACTTTGCAATCATGCATGATTTTGAACCTATTACTTTCAATGAGGACGTAAGGAAGGATTTTTGTAAAGTAAGCTAATTAATATATTAATGTTTTTTGTTATTTTTTGCCTTTATATATGATCTTACATATTTTTTTATAGTATTAGGACGCAAATGTGTGGAGAAAGAATATATATATATATATATATATATATATATATATATATATATATATATATATAAAAGTGGATTCATGGTTAATTATTTTGTATGGTATGCGCATGGCGTGTCATTACCTACACATGACATGGGACAATGTTCAAACCCTATATCGTCTTAACGTGTGCGTCAACGCATAGACAGTGAAATGGCTTAGGACATTAATGACGATTTAGGTGAATGAAGGCATGATCGAAAGTAGATTTAGAAGTGTGGTGCAAGATCGTTATTCAGACATAATGAGTGAATATCGACATGAATCTGCAAATAGAGCTCAAGCAGTCCATCACAACATCCCAAACATAGATAATGACTTTGCAATCATGCATGATTTTGAGCCTATTACTTTCAATGAGGACGTATGGAAGGCTTTTTGTAAAGTAAGCTAATTAATATATTAATGTTTTTTGTTATTTTTTTGCCTTTATATATGATCTTACATATTTTTTTTATAGTATTGGGACGCAAATGTGTGGAGAAAGAAGTCGGTGGCAGGGAGGGCCAATCGTATGAGCGGTGACAACACCGTACAGTTTCGAGACATACAGGGGATCCAGGAGTTATGATCTGTATCAACTGGAATTGGTAATTATGCAAATCAATATTCATATAATTTAGTAATTGGTTTTACTTAATCATAGATTACATTAATTATATTATGTGTTTTATGTAGCAAAAGGAATTGAAACGTATCCCTACATTTCTAGAACTTTTTCTTTTTACCCACCTTACTACCGAGGCCAAGAAAAAATTCAAGCTTAAAGATTATGATACAATTCAAGAGTTGGAGTTTTGTACACCTATTGCTAGAGCAATATGTGTAATTTATCTTTTCCTTTTAAGATAATTAGTGCCTCAACTTCAAATAGTACAATAATAACAGTCGTTTTGTTTTGATAAATTGTAGGAGAGATACACTAGTTCCATGGTCATAAAAGTACGAGGAGGACCTAACTCAACATCCAGAGGGTGATGTTGACTTGTGGGTGCAAGAACAAGAAGGGATAGGCAAATACATGCGTATTACGGGGTAGGATGTTCATATCTACATTTCGTTGTCATGGGGACATCATCTAATGGAAACAAACCAACCTCTTATGACTACCAGGAGTCACAACAACGGGTAGTTTTCTTTGATATATATAGATAAAAAAAATGTAAAGTAGATAAAGTATGTTGTTATTACAGATAAAAAAAAATCAAGTTTGTTGCTATAATGATTAAGATAAAGCTGCTGCTATTATTTAAAAACATAGAAATATTGTATTTGGTAATAAATAACAATTAAAGTATGTTGGTATTATGAAAAAATGTAAAATGCTATAACGGATAGAAAATAAATGTATGTTGCTATTATATATAAAAATGATAACATGTTGCTATTGTGAATAAGAAAATTTAAGTTCATTCAATTTATTAGTGAAATGTATGTTGCTTTAATAGCTAAAAATGTTAATATATACTTTGTTTTCACTATTTTTTTATGTTACTAATGTATGTATGTTTCTTTTACCATTTTTTAGGTTTGGGAATTGGAACAAGCTCATGCCGAATTGGCCCGACAAAATGGTGAAATGGCCGAAAGACAAGCACAAATGGAAAAACAAATGGCAGAAATGGTCGAGTTCATAAGACGATATGACACTAATAACCATCCCGACAATCCATCCAATCCATCGAATGCTCCTTAGGTTATTTTTTGCAAATGTTTGTGCGTTTTTAAGACTTCTATATTATGTTTTTGATTTACACGATTGTTGAAACTTATGTTCTAAAATGTAAACGTTTGTATAACTTTTAGATAATATGGAATGAACTTAGTTTTTTTGCATTAGTTTTTTTTCTGCATTTTAGGCTAAATTTTTTTGGTTTTTATTGTGTTTTTTTTTTTTTTTTTTTTTTATAGCTGCACTGTTTCTCGGAACTTTTATCATGAAAAAGTGTCACGAAAAGCTGTCAAAAAGTGTGCGGTACAAGGAAATTTGTCGGATATTTCTTAGGAATTCCTTGGAAAAAATGTTTCCTAGGAGATTCCTTGGAAATAAATTTCCTCGAAGATTCCTCAGAAATAATCCTTGGAAATTAATCAGAAATAAACTTCCTCGGAAAGTCGGAAATAATCTTCCTCGGAAATTCCTCAGAAATAATCTTCCTAGGAGTTTCCTGAGAAATAAACTTCCTAGGAAAACCGTCGGTACTTCCGACAAAACTATTTCCTAGGAAACGCGTCAGAAAGTTCCTCGAAAATCCCTTACAAAACATTTCCTAAGAAGGTTTTACCTACGCACGGGATTTTCTCGGCATTTCCTAGGAAACGGTGTTTTCCTAGGAATTTCCGAGGAAAATGTCCCTCAGAAAAAGAGTTTTTTTTAGTAAAGCAGGGTCACCGCTCCGTATCCTTCCCCACCGCCTCTATTATCCAATATCTTCCAATTCCGATTCCATCCCCTTTGACTGCTTTGAAATATCACTTGACCATCTCCACTACCGCTTACTTCCTACATACGATCCACTTGTCTCTTCTATTCTCCCTCTACCCGTTATGATAGACCGATGACGCACCCAGAAAAACATCAATCGCTATCATACACGATCTCCTCTACACCTGCTTCAACTTCGTTGACGACTTTCTCCAATGCACATTGATTGTTCATAAGGTTAGTTTACTCAACCATGATCACTGCTCATCTCTCTATTCTTCTGTTTGAATACTACAGATTTCCTACAAAAAACGAGTTGTAGGAAAAACCCTCGTGGGTAATTTTTTCCTACAAATTAGCTACAAACGTTCCTACGCATTTCCTTCGGAATATTCTGGTACAAATTTACCTACGGAATACCTACGGAACACGTTAACTACTGAATACATACAGATTACCTACGGGTTATTTAGCTAAGGAACTCCTACAAAATACATACAGATTATTTTCCTACGGAATACCTACGAAATGATTTTCCTACAGAATACATACCAACTACTTTACCTACGGATTACTTACAAATTGATTTTCCTACGGAATACCTACCAACTGATTTTCCTACAGAATACTTACCAACTACTTTACCTACAGATTACCTACCAACATTTTTTCCTACGGAATACCTACAGATTTTATTGGATTTTATTTCCTACTGAATATTTATTTCCTACAGATTTTCTATGAATTTTTTACCAGTTTTTGTTGCTATATTAAATTTATAATTCCTACAGAATATTTATTTCCTACAATTCAGTCAAAAATCTATTGCTATGTTAAATTTATAATTTAAAAAATATCTAAATTTTCTGCTAAAAAAACCAAATAAATAATTAAAATAATAGTCAAATACCATTACATTCATTACCATTAAAATAGTAAGTAACATGCCATTCATACATTCAAATACTCAAAATACCATTACAAAAACGAAGAAGTAGTCAATAACTCGAAAAGAGCTTTGTCTTCTCCGTTAAACCACCAGTTAGATTACCCCCATCAACTTGCAATTGGAGCGTCTCCAACTACTCTACTTCTCATGTCCATCTTTGTACTCATCACCACCTACCTCTTACCTCCCAATTCCTTACTATGCATCATTGCAACTATGCCTCTTATCTATGGAGAATGAACAAGACCGATTTATAGTCAGGTACTGTTCATTGTTAACAGTCCGTTCATTGTGGTCTTTTAGTTGATGATAATTATATTGAATTTATTTTCATGCAGGTTAAAAATGGGGAAGAGCACAACACTGATGAACACCCGATTCAGGTTAGTGCTTTCAACAATAGTACTGTTCATTTTGCTGATATGAATGTTTGGATGTTTAGTTCCTCTACACAATTAGGATAAACCTTTTTTCACCCCTAATCTTTTAAAGAATACAATCATTTCTTACAGTTTTAATAAGAAGCCCAACATATACTTGCAAATAAGAAAGAATAGCTTATATTGCAAATGTTCTTCATTCCACTTTGAATGGAATAAAAAAAAAAATACATCTTTAATCTATTCCATTCTCTCATTCAATTCCATTACACACCAAACACTATGTGATGACTACGACTCTGTGTGTGTGTGAGTGTTGGACTTGGATATTTATTCATGGACAAATAGGATCTTTTCTTTTTGAGCATGATTTTATTAAAATAACGTTTTTTTTAATAATGATAATTTGTAATTTTATAGTCGATTAACATTTTGGTAGCCAAAGTAATATTCGTATTGTTTTTTAGGGAAACGGAGAAATATTGTTAATTATTTGTGTTTTCAAATGAAAATAAGTTGAAGAAAAATCGATAATTTTTTATGTTAATCGATTCACGCAAAATAAATGAATTTGACTTTTTTTATAATTATGTCCATCTAATTATAAAAGTATTATGAGATAAAGTAAACTGTGTGCTGATGGTTAATTCATGAATATGAAGCAGATGTTGATAGTATAAAGTGGGTGAGATATGATATTTTCTCTCTGATTTTATAAAATTTTGAATTCTAATTATTATTTTTTTCATTTTCATTACTGATTCTCAAAAGTATAATTTGAAGTTTCTCACAATAAAGTAAGTTTAGCATTAGTCCAAATAAAAAGTATAATTTGTTACTTTACTGAAAGTTTAGGATCAAAATTCAGAACGACTCCATGCATTTTGCTGCTGGATTCACTGGCAAAAGCTGATCAGTCCAAGCGATTGAACCTGTAATAAGAAAGTAATGTTTGATTTATATTCATCTATCCTTTTATTCTTCTATGGTTTGTTTGGTTCATGAATTCTGGCAGAATTAGAATATGAGATCCCATTCCATTGCATGTTCGGTTGCAATAAAACAAGCAACAAAATCCACTTTTGTTATCAGGTTGGTAACCTTAGTCACGTTCTTAGTTGTTCTATCTGTATACATTGGTTTCTTAATCTTATGATAAGCCTATCATCCGAGGTATTCATATTTCTCTTTTAAATTTTTTTAATTCCTAAAATAATCAATTTTTTCTTTATTTTAATTCATTAAATTTAATATTACTTCATCGACAAAATGTGCAATCAAATGAACTTTATCAGTTGGCAGTTGGCATCTGTGGCTTTCTGCTTGATAGTTGCATAAGTTAGCTTCTTTACTATTTACTCGCATGCTTATTTCTATAGTAAATAACATTTCGGTCCTTGAGTATACTTTATTATGACAATTTTTGGTCCCTAAAACTTTTCGCATTCAATTTTTTTCGTCATTTGAGGTTTTTAAAACCTTTTTCGTTCATATTCCAAGCCAAATGACTACTTTTGATACCTTACTCTAGCTAATTTTTACACTTAGCCTCCCAGGAAAAGACAAGAGAACTTTTTAGGACCGAAAGTGTAAATTACTCTTACTTTTCTTCATTTATTTACAGTAAATTATTGTATGACTCAGTTTGGTTACAAGTTAGGTCTAAGCCTTAAACTTGATAGTTTTGTTGTCGGAGTCATGAAGAAGAAAAACAATCTTTTTACAAACAAGGTATTTTTTAAATTGGTGTAAATATTATATTAATATGAAAGAAAGATATACTTCTAAGGTTGAAAATTTTGTTGAAAGTACAATGCTATTATTGGGTCGAGTTTTTGAAGTACAATGTTTTAATATAAAAAAAAGTGGAAAGTACAAACTGTGGTACAATATGTGTGTATCATAGACATTTCTTGGTTTTTCTTGAAGGCTATTCATAAACAAATAAAATGTTCTCCTTAACATCCCATTGTACACACTCTAATGACAAAAATAGTTTATATTTGCATCTTTCTAACGGGGAATCTTCCCTAATTTTCATAAAAGCATAACAGTTACCAACAAGCACTGATTCCATGTAACTTAACAATATTTTAATGGAATTAATCAAGCTTTGTGAAATTTAAAGTAGCCATAAATACCGCTCTTTACCTACATAAGAGTGTGCATTAATCTCGCTATCCGCTACAATGGCTCACAACATAATGTCTAGAGATTACAAAAAGATTAATGTTGACATGTATAGAGCTCTGTCAGAAGGGGATAACGCCAATCTAACCATACACAATGACATTGTTCCCCACATTGTGAGTTACTACAAGCATAATAAGCTCATTCTTTAGCTACTCAGTCTGCTACCTGAAGACCAACCTGTCAAACTCACATTAAAAAATGATGTCGAAAACACCATTCTTCAAGCAACAACCACCAATAATAAGACAATTGAGGCTACTACTGAGATGTTGCGCCAAACTTCTTCATTGCTCACCATGACCGGCGTGCTAAGACAGGCGGATTTTTTTCCATGCAACTCGTTATAGCAAAAACAACAGTTTCCATTTTCTTAAAGATGAAGTGAATTGGAGATTTCCTGCAGATGTAGTGAGAGAGATTAAAATAGGCAATAAAACAGTATAATAGGGAATTTTAATGAGCAATGGAAGTGAATGATGAATCAAAAGAGGAATGTTTGTAATTGAAGATTGCTCGGGGAATGGTTCCTTTCTTACTGAAACAAATCTTCAGGAGCCAATACAATTATAGCAAAATAACACGACGACCTCACAGACTTTGCAGCATAGCCTCTGGAAAAACATTTGGCTTCAAGGGTTTCTCCTTTGACTGTCCTTTACATTCTATTGTCATGCCATCACTACATTTTCTCACTAAAATCAAAAAGAAAAGTACAACTTAATCTAAGAATTAGACATAACACAATCTAAATCTTCATCATTTAATCACACTTTTGTCGGTCTTCTGTCTTCCATTTTCTTGTTTCTTTATCCATCTTTTCTTTCTTTCTTTCTTTCTTTTAATTTTGTTTTTGATTTTTTTTAGGGGGAAGAAAGCTTGAGTTTCAT